AGGAGGCGGAGCTTAGCGGTGATACTGACATCTCGGCTAGCCACTCAGATTTCCCCCGCGTTACGATAGAAAACCCCCTCCTCTCTCTTTGCCATAAACCCTGGTGGAAGATGGAGATAATTCTAATTAGAAGTGACTCTGCGTGCCAGTGATCCATGCAGACTATTAGTGTTGTCACGAAACTCTGCGGATGCTACTGGGCATGCTCAGTGAGTCTCCGGCGAAGGGAAGGTCACGCCGCCTGGGTGTTTCTGCAGCAGCGAGCTCTGCTTCCTGCACGCGATCTTCACCAGGGGGCGGGGTGGGAGGCACGGCCCTTTCTGTTTTTTTGCATTCCCTGCAATGTTTGTTTGGCAATACTGCAGCTCAGTTTTGTAACGTTTTTTCCAAGCTGATGCTCTTTAAAAAAAACACAATGCCACGGAGAGTTCAAGGCCAAAAAAAACTCTGTCGGTCGACCCCGCTCCTGCTCAATTGACTTCGCTCGTCGAAGCTGAGTTTGGGGGAAATAAAGCACGGAAAGTAAAGCAGGCGAAATAAACATGTCATAATGTGTCAAAGCTGTGGTGCAAACACGGTTAACCTCCGCGCTTTCACAAACACACGCCTTCGTTTCACAACAATGGGCCCCTTTAATGTTGCATTACATTGCATTACATGGCATTGAGATAATGTTCTCATTCAATTGGAAAAACCCTTTGTTATTGGTTTTAAATGTAGAAATATATACAATAAATTAGATTATGTGAGTGAAAGATATTTAATTTTTGCATTGTATTTTCGGCTTTTATAAAACGTGTTCCTAGTTTCGCAAAAATGACTTTTAAAAACCCTACATTGACTAACATTCATTCAATTTGATTTAGTAAGGGGTTAATGTTTTGTATTTATGCACAGGATTTGCAACAACCAAATGAAACGTATTTCTACTTATTTGTATATGTTAATTGTACAATTTAATATCCATATAAAATAAGAATACATTTAGGCAACTTCAGCCGATTAAAGGATTTCATTTTAAATCAAATTATTATTTAATTTTCATCTTTATGATATTTTTACTGTTTCGTCGTTTCATAAATCTGACTTTTAATTGACAGGCATTTCATTTATAAATCACGGGCTTGATGTTTTGTTATATTTCCGCATGTTTTGCAACCACCAAACATGCATTACAAACACATTTCTTTATAAATTACACCAAGAGACGCCTCTCAAATTCCCCTCTAGATACATTCATGTATTTTCTGCATTATTACGACAAACATTTCCGTTGTTAATAATCATTTCGCACATTCGATTTTAAATAAAAATGTTGCTTCAGGCTAAATAAAACCCATGTGATGCAAACACACATTTAACCTCCTCGCCTGAACACACACAGCTTTCATTGTTACCCCTTTTGAGCCCTTCAAACTTCATATTTATATTGAAATGGAAGGAGTCCCTAAACAAGTGCACGTGACGGCTGTAGATTAAAGGTTTTAGTAACTTAATGTAAGATTTATTTGGACTGCCTGACCATAATCTTCCAGTTGAAGGTAGATTTGAGGTATTAGACTCAGAGATTTAAGGAGCCCCGGGTTAAGATTACAGAGTGTTTGCATACAATGAAACACTGTTGAGGCAATTTGGAGCGTTTTAAAGACATCTTCGTTTACTCGTGGAAGTTGATAACCACTGAAAGAAAACCTGCACCATTAAAGATATGCAGGTTTTCCTGATTTTATAACCACAAAATCACGTAAAAAGACAATATATGTGTTTCTATTTGGTGATAAATACTTTATTGTTGTATTAATTGAAAGCTCAGGGTTTGGTTGTTTATCTTAAAGTGATTTGTATGTGTTGTGTTCAAAGGGTAATTTTTTAAATATAAGAATAAGCAGCGATAAGTTCTTTAAAGCAGGACGTCAAAGGGTTAACTCATGCTGGGTGTGTTTTTCTTTACATAGCAGATCTCTGTGTGTGTGTGTGTGTGTGTGTGTGTGTGTGTGTGTGTGTGTGTGTGTGTGTGTGTGTGTGTGTGTGTGTGTGTGTGTGTGTGTGTGTGTGTGTGTGTGTGTGTGTGTGTGTGTGTGTGTGTGTGTGTGTGTGTGTGTGTGTGTGTGTGTGTGTGTGTGTGAGTGTGTGTGTGAGATGGAGGGGGGTTGGTGCTGGTCTACATTCCTCCTGTTTTTTCTTCAGTTTTCAGTCCATTCAAAGCTCAATCTCTCATCACACGTTATAGTAGATTTCCTTACAAAGATTTACAATATTTTAATTTCTATGTGTATTCTCATATGTATTTTCTATTAATTAATTTATTTTCAATATGTTTATGAACATATCTTTCCCATGCTTCCATTTAATTAATCTACTGAACTCTTCATATACTTTACTATACATTTTTTTCACGTGATGCAATACGTTATTATTAATATCACACTATGAAAATTATTTGTAAAGTAAATATAATTTCTTATTTTTCTTTACTATTTTGAACAACATTATCAAATACAATTACTGGATCCAGAGTGTACACATATGAATGATTGTGTCTTAATAATCATCTTACTTCCACAAAGCTAAGTAAATCAAATGATGGCTATGAAATGTTTTTTTATATGACGTCGTTTTCAGATCATTTCTTAGTTACATTGCTGAAAACTTTTGTTTAACGTTTTCTTAAAGGTGGGGTATGTCATTTATTCCATGGAATGCTCTTAACATCCCGATAGCAATGAATACATTAAATGCTTTGACAATAAATACATGAAAAATAAGCTGTGGAAGCCGTGGCGCTGTAAAAAGCACGACCAATCATCTGAGCCGGCCCGGCTAAAGTAACTGGATGGCCTACCTGCCTGTCAGCCTTCCATCGGGGCACAAACTTATCTCGTGCCCTCATTGGTCATGTGCGCGTTCGTGTGTGTTGGAGGAGGGGCTCTGTAAGGAAGTGGCAGATTTGTTCCGGTTGTGCATTTTCAAATTCTAGCGCACTCGAGCTGGTTTCTCCAAAATTACCTGCCCCACCTTTAATAATCTTGAATTGATGCAGGGTTACCCAAACCAAACAATGCACAAGGTTATACCAAATTGCCGGATTACATGTACACATTGGTATCGTTTAAGGCGAGACACGGCAGGCAAAAACATCGTTTTTCAAGTAGGCTACTGGTCAATTTTGAGATGTTGTACTATTTTGATTCCATAACATGTTTTCTTTCAGGCTTTTGGAAGGAAAACGTACAAAATACACATTTAAGTGTTTATTTTACTATAGTTTGTCTATTTGCGTGTGTAGATTTCTCCTAAATTCACCAAAAGTTAGCATTCTAACGTAACATAAAGTACCGCGACCGCTGTGTGCACCTTGTCAACAGAGGTATCGCTGGAAAGCTCCGTCTCTCCTGCACAATCTCATCGGATCCAAATATGGTCATTTCCTTTGTATCAGCAACCAATCGTGAAAGCCCAAAGGGGTCTTAAACCAAGAAACGAAATCTCATTGGCTGGTGTCAATTTCTGAGAACGTGATTCGTTCAGATGCGTCACGTGGTGTGCTAAAACACTTCCTGGTTAGCTTTCAGCTAGAAATTGAAATCTCAAAATGCCAAAAGAACGGCGAAAAAAACGTTCACAGAGAAGACGACAACAATTGTCACTTGCACGAAGCAAGATTATACAAAAAAAAATGACCCCGAACATGAAATACCTTCACGGAGTGCGTCGATGCGCAAGCTGTCATCCAAAGAACAGGAGGGTTTAGCTAGCGCCTCACTGCAATCTTTAAAGGTCGTTTTCTCAAAATGAGTTGTTTCTCCTACTCTGAGTTCGAAATGTCAACTTCAGTAGCACGTACATACACCAAACCTTCCAGTTATATTCCTATCAATATTATGAAGGCTTTTACAGAAGGGTTTGTTCATATATAAATCATAGCCTGAATTATACAACATTGTATACCTAAAAACATGGCGAAAATTGATATTTTAGGGCTGTTGACAGTATTTTCTGATTTATGGAGTGATAAAAAGAGATATCCAATATCCCTTCTGTAAAAGCCTTAGATACTAATATGACTACAAAATGAAACGAGAATTTTGAATCTGGCTATATCCAAAGTTCAGATTTCGATTCCTGAAATGTGTTAAAATATGTGCATATTTAATGAGATAATGGATATTTGCATATTTAAACATGCTATTTCAGAAATCTTGTAATACAAAAGACAATTGCCTTATTGTAAGTAATTAACTGGAGACATTTCTAGCTGATACCTTTAAGTTAAAAAAAATTACCCTATTCATCTGGGGTGTCTCGCCTTAAACAACATATTTCTGAACGTATATCGTCGTATTCATTTCTGCAGCTATTTGAGAAAAAACGAAGCTTTTAATTTCCTATTAAAGTCAGTGCAGAGAGAGCTTCTGTTCTGCAGTGTGTGAAGCTTCAGGCTCCTCCCACTGAACCACAGAAAAACACACATTGTGAAACCTGGAGGAGCAGGAAAATATTTGTAGGCCTATATGATTCCTTGTAACGGAGAGTAAAGGTTAACATTTGCATTTGAATGATTTTCTGTTTGTGTATTTTCATTGTCCTTCAACATAAAAAGTGAATACTTGAACTTTTTAGGCAGATCTTTTCCGAAACTTTCCTCCCAAAAACGTTCTGAATCTTTTAAACTAGTCTGTTCATCAACATTTTAGACATCTTGAGGTTGAGATTGCGTTTAAAAATAAATAAAACATACATTTAATTAGAGATGAATGAGATCTAATAAACTACAATTTTCAGCTTCATTCATTACAATACCGTGCTGCGTTCACTGGCTGTTAGCAGGATGGGGATTCACACACATCCTACCAAATCTCAGTAAATTACGTTACAAGAGGAGAGTTATTATCGCTCAACCTTCATTAACATCCCGGCCTGCTGTTTGAATCTCTTATGCACGATAACAGGTTGTTTTTAAATATCTTTCAGTGCAAAAAATGTAATTCCTGCTATGATAGTTAACATTTAATGTCTCACTTCATGTGCTTCTCTTTTGTTTCAGCTCTTCTGGAAACAGTTTCACTTGTTGGAGAAGTTTCGGAAACTGGACAAAGTCAGCATGTATGTCAGAATCAGACCGGTAAGATTCACTTTGTCCCTGAAACTCCTTCGGTACAACACGCTGCGTTCCATAAAATCCGTTTTAATCAATGAAATAACTGAAGTCAAGACTAACTGCTGGAATAATGGCTTCATTATATGGTGCATATTTGGTGTCAGAAACGTCTCCTTTTGTTCTCAGAGGATTGGCACCTCAAGCCGAGAAAGCAAAATAATAACTGAACACAGTGGAAATAACCCTTTTTGCTCAAGTCAAATTATCTTCATGGCTTTTTCCAAGTTAATAAAAACCGGTTTTGAGATGTAATACAATATTTTCTTTGCTTAGTTTTTCTACTTCTTCTAGATAAAGTCCACCAAAAATAATCTTCTTACTTGATAGTTGCCCAAATGTTATGTTTCATCTCTAAAGTTGTATTGCAGTTTGTCATGAGAAGCCCACAGTATATGAGTTTTCTTTCCAGACATCTGCTCCTCTCCTCCTCACATCTTTGAAAAGCAGACACCCATCATAAATACGATGGAGATGACATGATGTCTGTCTGTCTGTCTGTCTATATGTCCATCCGTCTGTCTGTCTGTCTGTCTGTCTGTCTGTCTGTCTGTCTGTCTGTCTGTCTGTCTGTCTGTCTGTCCGTCTGTCTGTGTGTCCGTCCGTCTGTCTGTCCGTCTGTCTGTGTGTCCGTCTGTCTGTCTGTCCGTCCGTCCGTCTCTCCGTCTGTCTGTCCGTCCGTCCGTCTGTCTCTCCGTCTGTCCGTCCGTCCGTCTGTCCGTCTGTCCGTTTGTCTGTACGTCTGTCTGTCTCTCCGTCTGTCTGTCTGTCTGTCTCTCCGTCTGTCTGTCTGTCTCTCCGTCTGTCTGTCCGTCTGTCTGTCCGTCTGTCTGTCTATATGTCCGTCTGGTATATGGGTAAGAATAGCAGCAATATTAAAGTAAACAAGCAAGCAGCCAGTAATACCAATAATACATATCAAAAATATTAAAACATTGAACTCGTTTTTTGTGTTTTCGCGCGGTTATTCGGTTCATTGTCTGCTGTTGGGACATGCGTCTTACCCCCGGGGATAAATAGAAAATAATGATCCATTCATTCATTCATATAAAGTCAAGTTTCCTGGTTCCCGGTCCTCAGCTGTCAGAGGCTACAGTTTGGGGATTTGTCTTTTATTATTTTCCCTCTCCTGGTGGAAACCTCATTTGAACCCTGAGGCTTATAAAACACGTAAAAAACCGGTTGTGTAATTTCACAAATACATCACTGAGACCTTGTGAGACCCCCCAAGAAATCATTTTGTTAAGTTGTTTTAACCTGGATGTGGTGTCTCTAATAATCCTGCATGCTTTTTCTTGCTGATGCACATAGTTTGATGTTAAGATTAGATAGAGCTTTATTGTCTCCCTTAGGAGAAATGTGTCTTGGGCATCGAGATAATACACATAAAACATTCAGGTCAATCAGTCATAGATACAGAAGAGAGATCACATATCACATGGCAAAGAAACAAACAGGTACAGCACTTTCCCTATTGCTGTTGATTTAAGATACAGTGTTAAGTGAGATTAGATGAGACAACAGTTGGAAAATGAGATGCAAAACATAAACAAAATAAGAAACACTGCACCGACGGAAACATGCAGGATCGGAAAATATGAGGAATAGGAAAGTGTGATTCATGACTTAACGACATGTTATTTGATCAGATGTATAAGAGCAGCAAGCTGAACTTTATTACCATATTTTGGTGAAACACGGGCGGCCCCTTAGAAGTCAGTGTAGTGGAAACATCCAGCTGATACAGTATGTTTGTGAACATGGACTCAGAAGATGTTTCTCACCAGCAGCGACAGGAAGGTGATGATGTGGCAGACGCTCAGAGTGTGAACGCCGCGAGAGACCGAAGGAAGTCGGTCTGCTGCGTGTGGGGTTTTCCTTTCTGAAAGTCGACACGCTTTGTTCAACATTTCTGAAACTGTCCAGCAGTACGAGCAAACACGAGATGCGGAAATTACAAAAAAACAATTGTGCTACAATCCAATATATATAGCACATATTAAAAACAGAGGATTTTACTGAAGTGCTTCACAGCAGACATAACATTATAATAAAATATAATATTACAATAATAGATAAAAGGCACACAGATACAGATCAAAAACATGCAGAGCTATCGGAGACAGAACAACGTTATCATCCGCTCTCCTGTATTTACAACAATTTCAATAATTAGACAGAGTAGCTTCAGTAACAGTACCAATCAAATATATTGCCCCATTGTTTCATAATCTATGACTTACTGTATTACTATCTACTACTGTATTATTAACTTTTTGAGTAGTTTAATATAAAACAACTTGTATTCTATAAACTGTTAACATGTTAAAATACCATTCTGATAAGAGATAATAACTTTCATTTCATTTAAATACAAATAAACTCAATGTAACAAATGTAAAAGTTGATTTCAGAATCATATGGAGATGATGATTATTTACTGGATTAGTAAAAACTTCAATATTATAATAAAAAAGTAGAATAACACGGAAATATTTAGGGACAATACAAGTTTCTTAAAATTGTATTTAAGTACAGTACATTACATTTCAGCACCGTTCAGATATAAATGGTTAAACATGTGGTCGTAGCTTCACCAAAAGGAGTTTGATTTGTAGTGTGTGTGCATGTGTCTGTTGATTGTGTATAATAGGATATACATATTTGTATTTTTGCATTCAGGATTGTGGGAAACGGTATTTCGATCTCTGTCTGTTCACGCAAACTGAAACATCGACTAGTGGGTTCGTTCCAGTTTTTACAACTTTGCTGAAGTTTCTGCAGAGTTTGAGATGCTGCAGCCGCTCTAGTGGGGCCTGTGAGGGTCCGATGAGGGGCCTGTGGGGAGGGGGGGTGGGTGTGAGTGGGGGGGGGGGATTATCTGAGTGAAGCGGCTGCTAATGACTACTGACGGACTTTGTTTAGCAGCGAGGGGTCAGGGGCCCTGAAGCTCTGCAGAGGATTACACCCACTTAACAGGCTGAGAGCCACACACACCTCCAGACACACACACACACACACACACACACACACACACACAGTTCACACACACACACACACACACACACACACACACACACACACACACACACACACACACACGGCTGCCTGTTCACTTTTTTCCGTGAAAAAGCTATAACTTTAGGGCGTATTTTATTTGGACAATGTTTGTGTTCAACTTTTAACTCTTGTTAAAACTTGTAAATGTCGTATGTTGTAGTAATACTCTAAATCTAAGGCATTCAGAAAAGAAAAAGCAGTGTTTACCATTCAACTTAAACGTATGGTTTTGATATTAAAATAACAAAAGTTAAAGAAAGGCCTTCTGAACGATGACATGTCTGATATGTTTAACCTATTTCTACATACAATAACAAACCTACATTATCCTGCAGAATGAGTACTTGTGGTACTTTAACCACATGCTATGCTAATACTTTTGCACTTCTGAATTGGAGTTTTTCTGTTAAAAGTATACACTGTAGTATTACTACTTTGACTAAAGTACATATCTAAATACTTCTTCCACTTCTGGTCTTAAATATCATGTTGTCATGGCTGCCTCTCTCTAAGAAACTCTACAGTGCTGTGGTGTACAGTCATATGTTCACTGTGAAAGTATGTGTCCGATGTTGTTCCTAATACATCAATACACTAAAGTGAAAAAGAAAAGGCAAATCAAGCAAAACCAAAAGGAGTTGGAAACGTGATGTAAATCCACGTACTGCATCTTGAACATAAAACCACAACCCTTTTAAAATGGATGTCGAGGGAGACTCTGAGTCTCAGGCTGTTTCCCTTGGTCCACTGGCCCCATACTACAGTGGCGCCCCTATAGTGCTGTGTCTGAATCATATCAGGAGGAAAGTGGGCCGGTCGTGATCTGCAGAGAAATGCATGTCCGGTATGAAGAAGCTTTGATTGTGCCGCTTCATGTTCAGTGATGTAGTCGAGGGCTTGGCGTGCATATTAGTGTGCAGATATGAATATAAGTAGTAGAGTAGTAGTTTCAAGGCGTTTATTGTCATGTGTGCATACTGTAGCTACAGTGTAGTTGTGACAATGAACATCTTAGGTCACAGGCTCTTGAGACTTGAATTACGATATATGTCCTGATGCCTAATCTGCAGAGAGAGGCATGCTGGGTATGAAGAAGCGTTGGTTACTCCGCTTTAAGTTAATCATTGTCGTCGTCGAGTGTTTGCCGTGAACATCAGTGTGACTGCTGAGCTGTGAGGTGAATCACAGGAAGCTGAGCGTGACAGAAACGAGACACCTAAGACTTTGTTGGACACACACACACACACACACACACGCGTAGTCCATGGTCACGTCCCCATCCGCCGCCAGCCTCCAATATTTTTCATTTCTAACAGGCAACACGATGTTCGGAGAGATACAAGATGTGCTGTGTGACTTGGATTGACTTCCAGGGAGAGTTTCTCTGATCTGAAACCAGACACACGAGAGGCTACAGAATACACTCAATGGGCCTGACATCACACGGTCACTCTCAACCAAAGAAGAACAATAGTAGTATTTAACAGAAACAGCTTTTCACAATCACTGCTGCAACACTGGATTCTTCACAAAGCTTCATAAAGTCACAGAAACATCTCATTTTAACAGTAAAATGAGGCTTAATCTGTGTTTCTGCTTTTAATCACAGTTTTATTTCCCTTTGTATTCATTTTATTGTTGTTTAAAGTAAATATTCTTATTTTTATAAACAAAAAGAAAAGGGAGCCCAAGTCCAGGTTTTTTTAAGACGTGGCATGACATAAATTGTGACTTGGCGCAGGATTCAAAGTGGTTTTTAAACTTTATTTCCATTGTGAAACAAGAGACTGCATAAAAACAGGCAATCAAAGCAGAAAAAGAGTGAAGAGAAATCGTGTATCAGCAGGAAAATAACGACATGTTTCTCAGGGAAAATAGGTACATAACCAAATAACAACAAAACATTTAAAAATAAATGTGATTTCTGAACCAAAAACACACTGTTAAGGTTTCAAGGTTCTTTATTTAGTCCACATGGGTCAAACTCAAGGCCCGGGGGCCAAATCAGGCCCTTGGTGGATTTAATTTCGGCCCGCAGGATCATTTCTAATTACTATTAGATCTGGCCCGCCGGTATATTGCACGCACACCTTCACTCCATCCTGAGGGTCTCCTCAGCTCAGAGCCTGAGCCCCAAACATTGATGACCTTGCACCCAAGATGAGATGCCAAGTATCTGAGCTAGCATCACAGAGCAGCACACTGAGTTTAATGGATGTTTCCTTCTGCACTTTCTCTCTCACGACAACAGGGCATGTTTGTTTTCTCTTTGAGGGGAATAGTTTTCTTGAAGCTGTTGTTGGCCTGTGGGGAAAATGTACTCATAAGAACTGACTCTGGAAAAGCTGCAGATAGAGCCATAAGAAATGAATGCAAATGAATGCATGCAAATGAATGCAAATGAATATTGTTTTTATAGGCAATAATTTAAGCTTTGTTAGTTCCAGGTTTAATATGTGCAATAAGTTCATTTCAATACGTTTAGCAATAAACATTGAACCAGGCCGGCCCTCCACTAGTACCCATTGTTTAATTTTGGCCCACTGTGTATTTGAGTTTGACCCCCCTGCTCTAGTCATACGAACGTAGCTACAGAGTAGTTATGCCGATGAACATCTTAGGTCACAGGCTCCTCCAACAGAGCAACACAATAACACAGATAAACAGAAAAATATAGTGCAAGTAAATAGTAAGTTTCTTAATCCCTGCTGCAACAAGCATCTCAAATGTGCAGGAACATTTACTGGACTCAGAATATTAAGACAGTAAAATCAGCCCAAACTTGTAGTACATGTTTTTTTTAAATCTATTACTAGGTTATTGTTTTGTTGATTAAATTGTCACTTGTTAAAGTTTTTGTGTTTTCCCTCTGATAGGATGATAGGAGTGCTTGTCATACCGCTGATGTGTGCGTCAGCCGTTGTTGAATAGCGATGTATCAGCAGGAAAACAACGACATGTTTCTCAGGGAACACAGGTTCACAACCCAATAAGAAAACACATTCAAACCTATCCCTGATTTCTGAATCAAAAACACTCTGTTCATCAATCCCTGCTGCAACAAGCATCTCACATTTGCAGAAAAATCAGCCCAAACTTGTACGTGTTTTTAAATCTATTTCCAGGTTATTATTTCCTGGATTGAATTGTCACTTGTTGAAGTTGTGTTTTCCTCTGATAGGATGATAGGAGTCATGATGTGTGCGTCAGCGTCTCCGAGGCGTAGCTCTCTGAGCGGCTGCAGGCGTCTGATCTCTGAACGCTCCCATCAAACAGATTACAGACGGAAATACCTGACGGCGCGCTGGCAGACAAAAGAGAGGCGAGGACGGAGGGAGAGTGTGTGCTCAGGCTGAAGACTTTATTTCCTGTGACACTCTGAACCAATATTGTAATTTGTATTAGTTTAATCATATTCTTGGTTGTTCTTTAGTGTTGAAGTGTCCCATGAAGGCCTTTACATCTTGAGAGAGGGTGTTTTTCTGGTGCAAATGTCAGTGGTGGGAGATGGAAGTAAAAGTATTAACACCACACTGAAAAAATACTCTGTTACAAGTCAAAGTCCTGCATTTAAAATGTTATTTAGGTAAAAGAAAGTAAGTATAATCAGCAACATGTAGTTAAAGCTTTAAACGTGAAAGCACCCAATGCAAAAAAGAACTAAAATAAAATGTAAAAAACACCAACAAAAATCTTCAAAATCATAAAAAATGACTCAAACAGATGCAATCTTTAAATCTGTTAATTGACGACGAAGCTGGTTCTTCTATAATAATAATAATAATAATTCCTTACATTTATTATAGTGCTTTTCCAGATGCTCAAAGTGCTTTACAAACATTACACACACATATCATGCACTGTGGACAATACCCACAGGAGCAAGTTCAGGTGGAGTGTCTTGCCTAAGGACACGACGACTTTACAGACGCAGCAGCGGCGGCTTTCGAACTGGTGTTCCCCAAAGCACAGCCCACTGCGCCACTCCGCCCATCTTCACACCTCAAAGTCATCAAGGCGCTTTCCAAGTACACATTACACACATATCATACATGTAACGGTCATGTACTGCGTATGGCAAGCCAATTGAGCATTTATTCCATTTCCTTGATATCAGACAGCAGCTGCCTACACTAGTCTTTGATTTCACTTGTTAGATATATGGACAAAGTTCTGATGTTTTTGTTTTCCCTCTTTAAACTCTGGCTGAACTTTAAAGTCCGTTCAGGCTTCCTGTTGGACTTATCAGGAGGTCAGCAGGTCAGCAGGCCGTGACCTCTGACCCCGGGCTTCCTTGTTATTGCTCGTCTTTGTTTTGAAGTTGTTTGTTTCTGCTGCTGCTGCTGCTGCTGCTGCTGCACACACTAGGGCTGCACGATTTGGGGAAATAATCTAATTGCGATTTTTCTGACAGATATTGCGATATTTGTTTTTAAGCGACCCAACGGAAGTTTATTGTAAAATGCGGCCATAACTCCGGCTAGGAAGGTCGCATCAACGTGCTCCCATCTCTAGCACCCCCGCAGCCCGAGCTACGAGTGAAAAAACTAAACTTACAGGAAACTTCCGGTGCTTTAAAGTCAAGCTTCAGTTTAAGACTCAACCTGTAATAGAAACATGTGATGGAGCATTACTAACCTGACTCAGATGCTTTCACCAAACCATCTAAAGCTCCATTGGAAGCCATTTGGAAAGGGCGGGCACTTTCAGAAGCACTTGGCAGGTGATTGGATCAATCTGTCTATCACCTTCTATCATGGGCCACTTCTGATTGGTTAACAATGGCTGGTGCATGTGGAGCACAGCACTTCTGATTGGTGTAGATGACTGACACACAAGGACATTTAAAAAAAATCGCAGGCTTTTGGGCTGAACGATTAATTGAAATCGCGATTTTGATGAATCGTTCAGCCCAACACATACATGTTGATTTGGCAACCTTTTAAATGATAAAACAGCATGTTTATTATGTGGTATTAAGTATGTTATTTATGTTTAAAGAACTGCATCGTTTCAACATTTCCTGAGAGTTTGCACCTTGCATGCAACTACTTATTAAACTCACGGTGCACTTTTTGAGAAGTACATTTTCAGAAATGGACAGCAATAATAATGTGTTCAGAGATGCCTTCAATCATATGTCTTTTACATTTACAGAGAAGGATTTATTTTAGATGCATTGTGCTACAACTAATGAAGAAGTTAGATAATGCTCTCAACAGTAATATATCCATATATATTTGTTCTCTGCAAATACTTATTCCAAAGTGTTCCCGACTTTAAGCAGTTTATCCTCTGCGTGGTATTGTTCCTCCACAGCAGTTTAGCGCAGAGTCGCTGTTTTTAACTGACAACTGTATATACTGTGACGCAGTGGCGAGCCGTATCGAAAGAAAATAAGCGATATTACGTCTCAACCAGGGTTTCCGTTAGCCGGTAATTACCGGTTTTTAGCAGGTAAAATTGAATAAAAACCGGTACATTCAAAACCTGCCGGTCAAAATGTCCGATGTTCCGATCAATTGGCCGCCGGTCATTATCGGCCGATATTCACTCTTAATAATTTGATCTGTGCTCTCTATAAAGGCCGACCAGGAGAGCTGGATCTGATCGATATGGACATAAACGCGAGTGAAGTGTACACTTGAGAGAGATCGTATCAGCTGCTCCATGATCACCTGAAGCCCCGCCCACTGTTTAGCGTGCTGCACGACATGGGCTGTGAGAGAGGGAGAGAGAGAGGAGAAAAGAGAGGATCCGTTTCTCCCGTGTTATTATTCAAAGTTAATGTAAACTTTTGAATAATGTACTTCATCTACTACAAGTAGTTTCTTTGAATGTAATAATTATGTTGTTTGTTGTTTGTGGAATCATTTATTGAAAAATGAATCTGAATTTTTCGATCTGTTACGATTATAAACTGAAGCAATATAAAAATGACTCCCATTGACTGACTTTTAAACATCAGCATATCCGGTCCTAGTCCGGTAATTACCTGCTAACGGAAACTCTGCTACACAATTCTTATTATTATTATTGAAAACTGACCGGTAAAGTTTTAAATTTGGTCGGTAAAAT